AAGTCCTTTTCTCATTTGAGTTACTCTGAGGTTCTATATTCAGTCTAATGTAGCTGGTTTAACTGTGATAGATTTACACAAGGCCAGTTATGTAAGAAATTTTCCACTGCCTCTAGGAGCAGAAATGATCTGACTCTACAAAAGACTAATAGTGATTTAGAGAAAGTAAAATCTAGCTCCCACCTTCCTTGTCTTTCACCCTAAAGCTAAGTAATATGTTAGAGAGGAAAAATGCCTCCCCAGTCCCTGGAAGTGAGCAGCAGAAACCCTGAAGAACAGTTTGAATATTATATGAACATGATAATTACACAATCAATCATGATAAACCTACATTTCCTGCTGTTAGTATTTACTCCCTTTCACCTCAAGTTTTCAAGAAGATGCAAGTTCCTGCTTTTTGCCTTTTAGTGAGCTTCATCTGGTGGTTTTTCTTTTGTTTATTACATGGTGTGATAGTTTGACGTTTATTCCACTTACAGCATTACTGTCCAAAATATAATAAATACGTAATTTCCATTGCAAAAGTACAAAAAAAATTCAATGTGTACAGATTTTTTTTTACGTACTTCAGTGATATCAGCGTGATCATCATCGACAGCTAACAAAAATGCACAAAGATGGATTTTATTACATAGGCATTCTAAAGCCCATGGCCTAATAATCTGGTTAATTTTGAGAGGTTTGATTGCATCTTCCAAGTTTTTATTAAAAAAAAATTTACAATTTTTTCAGTTTAAAAAGTTGAATGTTAGCCTAAGATTTGGCCAATGTGATCCAGCAGAAGCAAGAAAGCAAAAGGTATCTGAAAAATGTACTTAGTTGAAATCTGCTTTCATTGTGTAAAACATTGATTAGCTCCATGATCCATATAAATTGAGATAATATAATAAAATGGAAATTTGGATATATATCTCGGAGAGAAAATGTGCAAAATGAGATGGTCACAGAATATAATTCAATTTTTTAATGCTCTGTTTATTGTTTGGTATTTCCATTCCTCAATTTCTATTTCCTCTCTTTTCAGGCACCTGATTCGGAATACAGTGTGTTTCAGGTAAAATTCTTTTCAATTATTAGATACAATAATTAGGAAGAATTTCTAATACACTGAATAATACTTGTTTTGGTGTTACATCCTTAATGTCATAAATTTGTTTTTCGTCATTGGTAAGGCAGTACATTTGATAAGGGCTATTTCAAATAGGCAGCTTTTATATTTGTTAGAAGTTTATTTCTCTCCTATTTCCTATAGGTTTATTCAGCAGTTCAGTATTTTGGTGCGTTCTGAAAGCTAAATTGAATCTATCGTGAACTGAATGACCTTCATCTGCTGATGAGATTAGGAAAAAGACAATGTGTATTTCACATAGCAGTTTTTACACTCTTAGGGCTCACTTGCGTGTTTCATTTAATGTAGTGTAATGGTGGGCTGTTACCCATGCCCTTCCTGCTCCTACAGCTCATTCTCACTGCCTACCTTGTGTAGACTGACAGTCTTGAAGCTGCATGATGATGCTTTGCATACATGATGGAAGACTGAAGAGTAGCTGATTAGTTTTCACTCTGTCCACATGAACACTGGATTCTGCAATGGGAAGAATATTAATGTGCAGGTGGTGGCATCTCTTGGCTCCAGCCCACAGTCAGAAGAGATTAAATGCAAAGTGAAATTGCATCTTTAAATACAGCTCAATAACATATTTTACAAGTCTCCGATTACATTCCGATGAAGTCATCTAAGTTGTTTGCATACAAAATGGTTTCAGTAAAATACTGCCAAGTATCTTCTTGACTTTAAAGATTACACTTCACAAGGTAGTTGTTGCGTTCTGGGGTTTTCATTGTGTATGGAATAAAATTTATGATAATGGAAAGGATTATTGGAGAATGAAACCTCTTAGAAATGTGCATTACCAGATTCAGAAAATGCATTTAGATTTTGATTTTATCTTTTTTTTAATTTGATTTTTGGACTTTTCAGGAACAAGAGGAAGATAACTTGATTCAGTGACAAAGTAGTTCTCAGGAACTAAGCGAAAAACACTTTGTCACTTTTCTTTCTGGAGTTTAGAGTTCTTAAGAAATACTATAACACATTTCTGTACTTATGGTACTTAGGATATTGCTTCCCTCTTTAATTACTGTTAGTTATTGTAAAGTTCTCGTCTGATTATGAGTTAAGCAAGCTCAATCTGTTACTGTGTTGTGAATATGTGGGTTGTCTGAAATGAGCTGTCCCTTTCTTGTTCCTACTGTTTACGTGCCCATTTCATAAAAATGCAAGTGTTCTTCATAAACACCAGACATGTTGCTTGTCACAATACAAAATTATTGATCCCACAAAGGAAGAGCAAATAGTATAAATGGAATCTGAGGCAACAGTTTGACTGGATAAACTTGTGCTAAGTTGAGGTGTAAATAATATTGTCGTGTGATTACTCAGAAATGTATGCATTTATTTGTATGGCTTTTTGTGATTGTAAGTGAGCCTTACGTTCACTCTTGACAATGTGGTTCTTCCAGTTTTGTGCTGCTCTTGTTCATCTTAATTGAAGTTTTTCAGCTGAAGTTCTGCATTAGTTTCAGATTAAACCCTTACAAGTTTTCACTAAGTGAAAAATCTGTGCATTGTACTATAGTAAATTAATAAAAGTGTGTATGTACTTTCTTGTGAACAGAATTGTTAAAATTTTTCTGGGTAACTAAGAGCTGCAACACAGAAAATAGGCTTCATACAAGGATAAAGTAGGTATAGGAAATAGCAGGACTACTGGTACAAATTCTTTATATAAAGTCAGCAAAAGTGGAAATTACTGAGCTTTGAAGCTTACATGAGTTTTATGTCTCATGTGATAAAAGACACCTTTACTTTATGAACAACAATTAAAAAAATTTGTTGGGGAGGGTCAGTTTTAACAGAGAAATGTACATCTTGGGTTTTCTTTTAAACAGCAAGTAAATATCCGTATGCTGTAGTTTTAATAAGGTCCTATGTGACTTTTTATGAATAAGTGGCAAATTTTTTATGAATGAAGAAGGGTGTCAGATATTTAATTATTTTGGAAAAAAGGTCTTTTTCCTACATCTCCTTTTGTATTTGTGTGTCATTATACCTTTCTGATTCCTTTTCCCATGCCTTGGTTTTTCAAATATTCATCGTAACTGTGTGTGTGCAGAGAAAGGATACTTTTGTTTCATATGGGTCTTGTAACTAGTAGTTAGGAATTTTGAACTGTCTTCTTGTCTCCCAAGGTAAAGGTCATCTTCCTATAGGTTAAGGAGTGAATTTGACATTTTTTCTCTCTTGCTGTTTTGATCAGAAGTCCTGTAACAAACGTTGCTGCAGGCAATACTCTAATCTACAGATTGATTTTTAAATAAGGAATAATATATGATATTTGAATTTTTTGTTGGCTGTGAAGCCTCAAACTAGAAGCTTAGTACTGGAGGACCAGCCTAAGGAGTCTAATTTTATGGCAGATATTTGTCCAATAATGACAAAAAGACATGTTGCCTTTAAAAACACATTGTCTCATGTTTGTTATTGGAAAAATCACAATAATATGTCGATGTTAAGAACTGGCCCCATTTTTAGCAATTAGTGTAGAGAAGTTGCTACTTTCAATTGCCAGGAAAAGATCATTACTATGGGCAGCTTTTCTTATCTCTACTAGGAAATTAGCCTGTGCTTGGCTATATTGAGGCCTCTAATTTCAGCATATTGCCAATATAGACATGGTTTTGTTGACTTCAGACATACGTCTTTGGAAGAGGCAGAGTACCGTCAAGATGTTAAAAATTCAACAAACTAAATAAATCTATAGAATAATGGAAAACAGTTAAGGGTGGTGAACATCTAACTGCAAATCTCAATGCTAATTAAGGGTTGTCACCCTACTGCTTAAGAAGAAACTAAAAGATAATAAAGCAGATCTGGATTATGTCTGTCTGGCCTAGATTCAAATAATCCTGCCCTGTTCCTTTCTTTTCATACTTGAACGAAGGTTTCTAATTGTGGTTGAACTGGCTGGCTAAATCCCTCCTTTACTTCTGCTTGGAAGAAAGCACTTTTAAAAAGGAGAGTTAAATATTTTAACATTTTTAGTTGTTCTTTCTTTTTGATAGGCAGTTATAAAGTTGTGTAGAAATATGAGGGAAGTGTAGAGGAATAGATGGTCTGAGACATGATGAATGAGAAGTGTCCCATTAAATGACTACTTAAATTATTAAATGAGCCTCAGGTCCAGATCTTCTCCTAGCTCTTATTTAAAGAACAAATGCTTTCATGTGTTTGACCTTTAGTTCTATTAAGGTGGCATCAGTCTGTTTCTATTTTGAAATGTTTCCATAGCAAACATTAAACATTATTTTCCAGTAGAGTTCTGTACCCTGTGTCAGAAAAGAAACAAATCTAATTGTTTTGGCAGTGATTTTTACTCTGGAAAATTTATGATTACAATAATTATAATCATCATAATAATTATGAATATGATATCTGAAGTAAGATCAGGGATTGAACTTGTGGCTCCCTTTATCATGCCTGCTCTATGAGTACATTACAGCCATATTAAGTTATCAAAGTGGTCAGATCTGCACTTATTTTGTTGATACGTCTGTATGGCTGCCACTGGTTTTTCTTTTCCCCATTGATTTGGTGTCTTTACAGTCTACACAAAGCTTGTTACATAGGCTAGAATTATGCCGGATCTGAGAGTTGTCTGTGACCTAACTTAGTCATAACTTTCCATGAGGCATGAAATTCTGTCCTCCAAACTCAGTGGCTATTGCTCTTCCACTCCAAAAGAGTTGTCTAAAGTCTTGGTCCCCTTACCTCCATCAGGCAACCGGTGGGTATACCCAGCTGGTTAAGCCTGTTAAAGCCTTATTCAAACCTGTCAAACCTGTGAAGGGAATAGTAATTAAAAAATGGCAGAATTCCTGATTAGATTATTTATTTGGTGTCTTGAAGATGTTTTACTTTTTACTTTATCCTTATTCAGGCTGCCTGGAGTCTGAAAACACGAGCTTTGACAGAAATGGTGTACGTGGATGAAATCGATATGGATCAAGAAGGAATCGCAGAGATGATGCTAGATGAAAATGCCATTGCTCAAGTCGCACGTAAGAACAACTTTCACTTAAATGCATTGAAGTAACAAGAGCTTAAGATTGGTCAAGATTGTCATCTAGCGTAAAATAGTACATACTGAAGTGACCTGATACGACCTTTAGCTATTGCTACGAGGAGAGTTTTAGATTGTTTTATGGTTGCATGTCAATGTTGAGATACACCACACGATCTTGATGTAGTGCTTAGGCCTGTGAGATGGGAGTTCAGTCACATAGTGTTTTGTCAGCTTTTCCTCTACATCTCTGTGCTCAGTAGCTCTTTTCCATCAGTGCATTTATTTCTTTTACTCCTTTCTGACTTCTTTAGGCACTGTGGTAAACTAGAGAAAAATATATGCCCTTGATGTACTGTGAATCTTACCCATGTGCCTGTACTGTAGGCAGCAGTCTGGCCGAATCTGCCATCACCTTTTTTCTGTATCATTTCCTGCAAACATCTTCTGAACTGATTTTCTCTTTTCTGCTTTTCTCTACTTTTTCCTCTCTTCCTTTGCAGGGCAGTGCTTCATTCCTGTCATTGTTTCTTGTATGCAGCTCTTTTCAGCTTCGTCAGTCCCTTCTAAGGAAAATCTTCCAGAATATGCTCTCCCACTGTAATTATAACTTAAAAACTTAAAAATGTGTAGTCATACCTTCCATATTACAAGAGGTATTGTCTGTACTTCACTTCCCAAGCATTTAAAATCCTTTTGCATGAGTTACATGTCCTTTTCAATTTTGCATCTGTCCTTATCTTGGTTTCCAGATTAAACTGTCTTAATAATGATTTTGCTTTCAGTCTTGCATTATTAAATAATTACTAAACTCTATAGGATCCACTGGAAACAACTACTGTTCCTCTTCACACATATGTAATAAAGTCTGCCTTCCACCAGTTTTTGAATTTTTATAATTTTGCTGTGTTAATTTTCCATCAGTCTTGTTTATTAATGAAAGTGTCCTACAGCATCATTGTACAGAAAATTCCCATTATTTTACCTTTGAACTCTTAGCACCATCAATTTTATCAGCCAAGGTTACAATCTTGTTTAAAAGTGTTACCTTGACAACGTATTTTTCAGAAACTCGTACTAATTGGCATTATGGATAATCACAGCTATTTCATTAACTAGAGAGTTAAAGGAGTCATCTACAGTCATCACTAACTGGTGGAATTGTGCTCTTAAATTCTATCGCTGTTGGGGCCACATGCGCTGCTGTGGCCTCTTGATGCCCATTCATAGCTAGTTCTGTTGGGATTCTCAAAGTATGGACTGAGTTGCCTGGGGTGAGATGAAGGGAATTAAATCCTGTAAGCATTCTTCTAGTACAGCAAAAGCACAAAACAACTGTAGTTACTGAAAAACATGTCTAGAAAAGGAATTTTAATGTCCTACCTTTTTTTATATTATTGTGATAGTTTAAAAAAAAGGCTCAGAAAGTGGATGACTAGTTCATTGTCTGCTAGCCTGAAAAACTGAAAGCCGCCTTCTCCATTTCTCAGAAGAATGCCCTACTTATGATGTTAGAAACTCTGCTGGGTGGACTGTTCTGTTGTGCAGTCAAAAATTCAAGATTCACCAAACTATAAAGAGCAAGTAAGCAACAGAGATCCTAAGTGCGGCTAGTCAAAAGGGAGAGAATCCACAGTTTTGGTCCTTATTTTAAGATCACTTAACGTATTTAGCTGGTTTTACCAAGGAGATAATGATTAATAAATTTTTTTTTGTATTATTTAGCTTTAAATACAGCTATAGCCAGGTGGCTACTACAATACTGGAGTCAGAGGTTCTTGGTATCAGCAGGGACTAAAAGCTAGAAGGTATTTAGATTGAGTTAAAAGTTATCGATTTGGACAAGTCTAAATTTACTTAAACAATGGACTGGTAGTATCTCAGAGGTAATTACAGCTTGAGGGGAGGAGAGAGAGAAGACTGAAAAAGGACAAACTTGGGGTTTATGTTGGGGAAACAAAGAAGGAAGGAAACTATCTACCTATCAGTTTAACTTCAGTTCTTGGAAACCTTTCAAATAAAAGCAGTTCATAAGTATCTAGAAAGTAAATAGAGTGATTTGTCAAGAACTGGCTGTATCAACTTAAATCTAATTTCTTTCTGTACATGGTAACAAGCACTGAACAGACCAGAAGATATAGATGTCATCTTGTTTTTAACCAAGTTTTTAAAACCACCTCTTAGACATTCACTTAGGAGGTCAGAAAAACTGACTATAATCAAATGTCGGTGAAGATGATGGAAAATCTACATGCAGGAACTAGTAATTCTTAATGATCCACTGTCAAAACAGAAATATGTGAAAAGGGGGGCCCTTCATCTGTTCACCTCAGCTCAAGCCAATTCGGTGTTTTCATTGATGACCTTTGGATATAGATGAGTTTGAACTTTACCGTGCCCCGAATTGTGGGTGGGGGTCCTACATGGGTCTGCTGACATATCATTCTCCATCTGCCCTGTAGCTGAAGGTTTTGGTTTACTTACTCTGAGTGCTGTTTTAGTCCCAGACAGAAAATATACCATTTCAAATTAACATGATCTCATTGTTCCAGTAACCTTTACTATTTCAATGCTATCTGTTGCTTCTAAGATGTTCTTGAGAATTGTTGTGAGTTAACCTCGGTAGGCAGCAAAGCCCCACGCAGCCACTTGCTCACTCCCCACAAGTGGGATAGGGGAGAGAATGGGAAAGGTAGAAGTGAGGAAACCATATTGATCGTGGCAGTTTTCTTGCAATAGCCTGACAATTTATCAGTATTTGCTTTTTGTCTTCTTTGTCTAGTGCTCTGTCCCCTCAGTTTGAACAAAGAAATTCCCAGTTTATTGTAAGACACAATATTTTTTTAAAGTCCCCTGGACAAGAGTGTAGTATCTCAATGTGAAGTGAGAAATGCTCTTATTTTATAGGACCAGGAACATCTTTGAAACTACCTGGAACTAGCCAAGGTGGAGGCCCCAGCCCAGCTGTTAGGTATGTGATTGCTTATTTTTTAAAGATGTGTCTAGTTACAAATGAGCGAATCTAAATTTAACTTCTGAAAATGAACTGCTTCCGATATGTTTAAATTCTCTATTGATAAAACCACTCAACATAAGGATAATGTGCTTAACATCTTCAGGCCAGTAACTCAATCAGGAAGACCTATTACAGGATTTGTGAGACCCAGCACGCAGAGTGGACGGCCAAGTACTATGGAACAGGCTATAAAAACACCTCGAACAGCTCTCACATCTCGTCCAATTACTAGTGCTTCCGGGGGATATGTCAGGCTAGGAACGGTAAGTTCTTTGTTCTCAGAACAATGGCTTTATTGGTCATGGTATCTGGTACAGTGACATTGTAGTTGGCTTAAAAGCTACATCTAAACTCAAGTTTGAAGGATGTGAGCATTTTTAATTTTTTGTTCAAATTGTTTTCAAAGTAGAGTTTGAGAATATTTTCTTGTTAGTTTGCTAGTCTGTTTATATTAAAAAATTACATAAATTTACGAGTTCACTAAAATTCTCATAAATTCAAAATTCACAAGTTCTGTGAGACTCATTTTTATTATGAAGGCCATGAAAAGACTATGAAGTGATTTCACCATAAGTATGTTGAGCCTTCTCCAAGTTTTTTGGTTTGCTACAAAACAATTACTAATCTCTTAGTGTCTGTCACTTCAGAAGATAAGGGAAATGAACTATAGTAGTTTTATCCTGTTCTATTGGCAAAATTAATAAACTGCAACTGGTACGAGTATGTAATACAGATTAACATCACATTAATGGCAAAATGTGATATCTTCTCACTAGTGCAGGTAAGAACTGGTCTTGCTGAATCTTGAATATTTTTATTTTTTTTTTACATATCCCAACTACCTTTAGTCCAGCTAGCAGTTAGTCGAAGCCACATTATGGAAATAGTGGAGAGAGGGAAGAAAAAGGTAATTCCAGAAGGTAATTCATGCAACCTCTTTCAGGGACTATATGGGAGTAGGACAAATTCCTGGCTCTCAGAAAAAGTGAAATTTAGTAAGAGTCTGTATTGCACAGTAGAGCCAATGCATCTACAAATGCTTTTTAGTAGTTGTTTTTTGTGTACAACTAATATTTTGAAAATTATCTTTCTCTCCTTCAGGCTTCAATGCTAACAAATCCAGATGGCCCTTTCATAAACCTGTCTCGACTAAATTTAGCAAAATATGCTCAAAAACCCAAACTGGCAAAGGTATGTAACTATTTTGGTTAATGTTGTGATATCTTTTTCATATTTTCTGGCATCATTCTAATGTAACTCTACGTGGGGTTGGGGATACAAACTGGTGATGAACTGTGTTGTAGATGTAAGTTCAGAAAACTAAAACTAATGTGTTACTTATCTTTTGAGAGCGGTTACTAGACTTGAAATGGAAAATATGTCTGAAGAGGTTATGTTGAAGGTATAACCTAGGAAAAACATTTTTATAGAATAAAATATTCCATTGGTAAATAACTTTGAACTGTGCATATAGCAGTGATGAAAGACAACTTAAAAAAAAGCTAGGAGGAAAAAAATACTTCAGACCCTTCTTAGTGTCCAGAAATGTGTTCTGTGTACAAATAGATGGCAATCCTGGCCTAAAATGGTTTGGATTTTTCCCTTTGGTTTTATGGCATGAGTTAGCAATTCTTCTTTAAAAAGATTTAATATTTTTGTTCAGAATTCTTCACGTTCAGTTGAAATCTTATGATTGACAACCATTGAAACTGAGACTGTCTGCCAATAGAACAGGTTTATCCAGGTTATCTTCCCAGCTTATGGGTTTCAGCTCTGAGTGGAAGAGACCTAAAAGTTGTGTAATGTTTTACCACTCTCTGGCCTTTCAGTTGAATCTTTCCCCAACACAACCAGTTAGTTGTATAGATGTTTTCTGTGCATACTTAGTTCACAAAAAAACAACTGTTGCGCTGAGACCAACAACTCATTTTGCACAAGGTATCAAACAACTGTGAGACACGATCTCAGGATCTATATTTGGCTAGCAACCTAGAGTTGAAAGAACCCATTATGTGTTCAGTCTGTTTTGAGAAACATAGTGGTGAACACTGTTAGAAGACGAGCAGTACCTGACAATCTGCTGGTAGTAATTAGCTCCTCCCATCCAAAACTTTAGTTAATTATTTTTCATAAACAGTTATCAAATTCCTTTACTTTTTAAAACTTGATCTAGACTTGATGTAGATGTAGGGCATTGCTTTTCAATGTGGTTTTCAAAGGAAGTAAATTTTGTGTGATTGCACTGTATTCTTTACCTGCTCCTTGCATCTCTGTCCCTTGGTGTCTTGACCATACTAGGTGGAGGAATAGATGTCAAATACTGTTAAGTTCTTATCTGATGAGATAACGAAAGACTTCCAAACCATCATCTAAGGGCAGTTATGAGTCAGTTCCTTATTAGTTCTGAAAAAACTGCAGGCCTTTTGTCCGATTATGTCCTTGCCAGTAATCAGCCAGCACACACATTATTCTAAATCCATAGCAGTCTGTAAAATAGGGAGAGTGTAAGAAACCTGGGAAGGATTAAGAAACACAAGACATCCATAAGAAACTAGGCTTAGTTCTTTTTCTTGAAGACATATAGCTTTTAATTGTGTTTGGTAACTCTATATAGAATTTAAGTAGGTAGGTTAGCTTTCAGATGAAGTATTTATTCTCAGCAACAGATCTCAGGAATGAGAAATACATAATTTTAACAATTTTGGTTTTTAATTAGCATTTTCTGGGATGATGGGGTAGCTCTGTCTTCGTTCAGTTTTGTATGTAAAGAGGCTTAAGCAAGAGACATAGAAAAAGAGGCTAACAGCAACAGACATAGAAACATCCAAAAGCAGCAAGTGTACTTGTCAGTGTTATGAAGCTAATACATTATGACATTAACATTTCATGCAGAATGTAAGATCTAAGCTTAAATTTGGAGCTATAACTCCTTGGATTTATATAACTTTGAATTTATAACTTTTTTTTAAACAAGATAGCATTAAGGCTAAAGCCAAAGCAGGAGGTGAGACTGCAGACTGCACTCTATGTTAAGAATCAAAGTTTTAAAACACTTTGACCTGTCACCTCTCCCAGGTGTAAAAAGATGATAAGTCTTGCAACTATGAAATGTACATAATTAGTGTATGCATTCATGTTGGTGTATGCTCCTCCTACCTACTTCTTCCTTACATGTTTGCAAAGTATACTCATTGTGTCTTTTCTAAGTTAGATTATCTTTTCACTGCATGACTAGGTCTTCCGATGTTTTGAAGTATACAGGAATGTGGCTTCTCTCTGACTAGCATCAGCCATGTTAAGGGCTATTGCAGGAAACCCCATTGTAGACATAAGAGGTATCACCTGTTGCAGGGAGACCCTGTGGTAAATCTCAGCAGCTGGTTTATGACATGAAACAGGAAGTATTATCTATTTTAGCTTGAGGATTTTTAATGGAGTTATTAAGGTAACTCTAGATATTTTTATCCAAGTGAATGTTCAGTCATTTAAATCCTTTTGAAGGTCAGGGCCTATAGGTAACAGCAGTAAGTTCTTCATGGCAGCCATGCAAGATTTACTCACTTTTACTGAATGCTTCCTTGTTATTGAACTAGAGAAGGAAATGCTCCACTGCTTCTTTATTTTCTGTTCTTTTGTTATCCACCTATTCTAATCTCCCTATACATTTGTTTTTATTTATAATTCTTTAATGTCTTTTGATCATCTGTTCAGAGTCGTTTCTGACCAAAAGTAGAAGAAAAGTAGGTTGTGCTTTGCTTTCCTCAGCAGACATGACAATTCATTAGTAATTCTCTAGTTTCCTCAAGGTAAATATTTTAAGAATTTTGTCTAAGAAAAGCTGTCAGAAGAGTTATGAAAGCCCTTAGAAGACCGCTGTCTTGTACTTTATGTCTTTCCTCATGGGACAGTATTTTTCTTTTAGTGCTTTCTAATGAATAATTACAATTTAGGAAAATGTTCTTTTCTTTTGAAGCAATTAAGACCTGTGATTCGGATGCAGAAAAACATCGTTTAACTCAATTGAACCTTGTGTTACTAGCACCCATACTACATTTCTGGGAATAGATGCTGCCAGTCTCCATTTAGTTATCTAGTATCTTTCAGCATAATTTTGTTCAATTAAAATGCCACCCCCATTACCTGTTACATACTCTGCATTCTAGTGCAGAAGAGCTACAAGGTAGTATGACTTGCTTAGCTTTATACAGGAGTAAAGAAAGATGCAGTTATCTTGCAATGCAATTGGTGTGGGCTTATGAGCAGTTACTATAGCATAGCTCATGCATGTAACTTCTTTAAACTTTGATGTTCTGATGGTGTGTTGAGTTTCAGAAGCACAATATTGTTATAATTTATCATCTGCAAATAAAACAAAGTTTTTCCTTTATAGATCCCAAAATTCAGCAGAGTTTAGAATTTTTTTTCCCAAAGACAAAATTTGCTTGCATTCTTAGTAAACCTGTGTTTAATTAAATTAGATTTCGCACTATATAAGCACCTAACTGTATATTGCAAAAAGTCTTTGTTAGATCACTTTTTGATTTTAGAGTTAAAAAGTCATGAAAATGGTACCAGGTTTTCAAATCTATATTAACTTTCAAATTATAGCTGCCTTTTTTTTTATTTTAAAGTGACTGTAAGGACCAAAGATCAGAGACAATTCCACTGATCTCTTGCAACAAATTAAGAATTAAAATACTTTCCTGTAATGGCAGTGTAGCACATTTATAGTTTTTGTCTATTCAAGTCTTAATTAAATGTAAACGTCAGCAATTGTAATGTGTGAATGTGATTGCTTTCACAAAGAAATAATTTCTGCCTAACATAATCAAGATTCTGTATTCCTCTAAAATAGTATTATTGATTTCTATCTTCAAATATGACAACATTTTAAATATTCTTTTGACAGGCATTGTTCGAATATATTTTTCACCATGAAAATGACGTAAAAAATGTGAGTAATTCATATGTTCCATTTTCAGTTTTTATTAAGTAGCACTCAGTTATTTCTGTCAGTATTCTGCTAAACTAAGGATGCAGGTAGTACATCACATCTGAGTTAAGTAAATGAAGCATTAAAGGCTGTTTTAAGACAGAGAAGTCCTTCCTTACAGGGGTGACAATCAGAGATAATAATTTGCAAATACCAAGATATGGATTGCTCTCTTTTTTGAGCAGGTGCCCACCAGAACCACTCTACCACTCCCTCTCCTCAACTGAAGAGCGGAGAGAAAACAATGAAATGCTTCTGGGGTTTGAGTTAAGGACAGGGAGATCATTCATGAGGTACTGTCATGGGTGATATCGGCTTGACTTGGAGAAATTAGCTTAATTTGTTACCAATGAAATCAGAGTAGGATAATGAGAAAAAAACTATACCTTAAAAAAACTTTTTCTCACCCCTCCCTTCTTCCTGGGCTCAACTTTACTCCTAAATTCTCTACCTCTTCCCTGCCAGCAGTGCAGGGGGATGGGGATTGGGGGCTGTGGTCAGTCCATCACACATTGTCTCTGCCTCTCCTTCCTTTCAGGGGAGGGCTCCTCACAGTCTTCCCCTACTCCAGTGTGGGGTCCCTCCCACAGGAGACAGTTCTCCACAAACTTCTCCAACGCGAGTCCTTCCCATGGGCTGCAGCTCTTCATGAAGTGCTCCAGCATGGGTCACGTCTTCATGAGATGAGATGAAGGATCTTGTAAGGCTTGGAAACCTAGGAAATTGTCTGAAGTTTGGGACTGTATAGACTGAAAAGCCTCTACTTGTGGACTTTCTGCATGGGTAGAATTGGAAGACCAGTTCCTGAAGTTTTGCAAATAAAACACAGAAATACTAGTGACGATATCCTTCCTTTGTCACTGTGCTGATTTGGAACCGTCTGTACTGTTCTTAACTCCATTATTATTTAAGAAGCAAAGGCAGTTTTATTATTTATCTTCTGTTTAGTATTCAGCCTGTATATTGAAAGAAAAAAAAAAAAGCCTCAGCAATTTCAGTTGAGAAGTATCATTAGTCGGTGTGCATTCAGCTGGACAAATAATGCTAGGAACTCAGTTAAAATTAAAAGTAAATACATCTCTAATCTATCAATTATCAGAAACATGGAGATGATAGAAGAGGGAAGCTCTGAGGTTTTTCAGCACTTGCAAATATATTCAAAATCTTTCATCTTATTTAATGAAAAATTAAGTATTTCTCTGAAGAAATTACTATTACCCTATCCATTATTCTTCTTGTTTCCTTTTGAACACACATATTTAATAACTGACTTTCTGTACCCCTTGAGCTATTTCTAAAAGCCATTTTATGGGCTAAATGCTGTAAGAGCAGGGCAGTTTAAAAGACTTGTACAGGAATAGTTCAGCTGCTGCTTTTTTCAGCAGTAGACTGTGACATCGTATTCTACCATTGTTCACAGGTGGGTAATGATGACAAGACACTTTGTCCTGAGGAAGAACAATGAGCGTACAATATATACTTGGGGACAGAAGTCATGACTTTGGATATTTCCTTAGTTCTTCCTAATACTCTGAAGTATATACTTTCTGATAGAAATCTATAAAGGAATTATACTAGATTTACAGACCATAGAAATCCGGAAGACACTCACCAAAAGTTGTGTTAAATCAATTGTGGCTAATGTAATTTACTCAGCTCTCTCATAGACTACCTTATGTTGATTTGTCTACAAATAAGACTTTAGTCGATAACTGTTGCTGGGAGAATTACTGCTGTTCAACAGCAAGTGAAAGAAGCAGCAGATGCTTCCTGTAATTTCCATCTCATTTCTTGGTGCATGCAATACTAGATATGAAATTACTACATTTCAAACAAATTTAATTTGTCAATACTATAGTAAATTACCACAACTCTACAAGCTGTTTTATACTGAGTTACAGCTGGTAGACAATTTGGAAGTCTTAGTTATAATACAGTATAGCTAAGGAAAGTAGTGGTAAAAAAATGAATCTCAGAATCATGCTAACTACAGTTACAATTAAATAATTACATAATTTTTCATTTAAAAACACTCTCATTCATTCTTTTAGAAAATTTAAAAAACCAAACCAAAACAAAAAAACCCAGAAAACGCACTAAATACTAGGGGTTTTTATTATTTTTACTTGCACAAATATAAGAACAGTGAGTAAAAGCAATTTGTTCTGAAAGGCTTCCCAGAGCTAAGACTGTTACTGAAATGGACTCCTCATACATGAGTAACTACGCTAAGTGCTCTGCAGAGTAACTGTTTCAGCTGACCAGCATTTCCAGATGATGGGTTATATCCTAAAGTTTATTAAAACTTTTGGGACAATCAGTGTGGGTTTTTTTCTGATATGTACATTAGAAGCAAAAATCCTTAAAAAGACATACCAGTATCTGGCAATCCACAATCTGTGCAGTTTTTCCCTTCTAGTTATTAGTATGACTGCACCAACATTCAGCAATGCACAGGGGTGCAGGACAGGCATAACACTGCTGCTGTTATAGATTAGTTTTAAATTAATATGCTGTGCAGATTGAACATTGATTTGTACCTAAACTGTGCAATTAAAAACCAAAAAAGTTTGCAGCAAACTGAAATTGAAATATGCTAGCAGTTGGTATTGACATGGCAAGATGAAGGCTTTGACTTTTGAAAGTCTATTTTAATCAATTTACTAACATTTCAAAGGCCACATTGTCAAAAGATTTTGTTGTAATACCAGCAGACAGTCTAACTACAAGCATGGAAAAAGCTGACATTGATATGCACAAAGCTTTTTCAGGCAAACACTTTTTAAAATATTGGTATCATTTGTAGTATTTTTATATTAAAGGTTTTGTGATCACCTGTCAAGTATCAGAAACAGGATTTTCCTATTCCTTTCCTACTTCCTTAATAGGAAAGTATAAAAACAGGACTTAATTTCAGAAACTAACTTGAAAATGAAGTCATACCTTGTTTCTTGGTGTTAGTAATAAGATCCCAGTAGAGTTCAGGATCTGCACTGACAGATAAACTGCTGATGTTAGTGTCTGCTAAGCCTGAAGCAGTCTTAGTTACAACTTTCCAATAGCAGCCAGAATTGTTATCCTTGCATAAAATAGTTATCAGAAATAATTAGGGTACCAGGAAGAAAGCTGAATGTGTAGCTATAGAAGGGATTGTTTTCTGAAATTCAGTCCTTCTCCTTGAGTACTTGTCATTGGAGCACTCGTAAGGAAAGCTCTTTGAAGCACATTATTTGCAGTATGATCCTTACTCATTTTAAGTGGCTGCTCATGCTGCATTAGAAGCAGATGTGGTATTTGACAGACACACACATTGTATATACATTTGTAAACACAACAAAAGTAACCGATATTTTCTCGGTTTTATTGGCAGATCAACTGCTCTCCCAAGTTGTCCCATTACTGGGACAAAATTGCTTATATATCTTCATATGAAAGAAAGTATTTGTCTGGAAGGGAAACTGATAATTTCTATCTTGAAGCAAGCTTCTTCCCCATGATAGCTGTAGCATCCAGAGGCCCCTGTTGTGCAATTTGCAAAGCCATTAAGAAACAAAGGGCAACCAAGGTAAGGGCTGCCATCTGAGGTCTTCAAAGATCATTCCACCTAACTGGGAAAATAGTGACTTCAGACTTGTAAGCTTTCCTCAGTTTTCTCTCTCCTGTCACAGAGGCAGGGAATGACAACTATGCCTCTTTGAGAACTACATCAATGCAACTCCTTAGCCTGAATTACTACAGAAAATAAATTATTCTTTCTCACAGAGCTAAGAGAGCAACTTGTCAAAGTTGTCATAGCTCTGCTGACTTTGCTGTGCTGTGTCAAATCTACACCCGTTGGTTACTTGCAGCCATATTTTCCCAGCAGGAAGAAGAGCAATCAGACTCAGTGGTGGATGTCACTAAATTGGCTCTTCCTAGTATTTCAAGTATCCAGATTATTTTTTTGCCTGGAAATTATTGGTTCCTCTGCTACTGAGTGTCCAGTGCACAGATCTTTCCTATATTATTCCTAATAGATAATTAGTTTCTGATTTCTGTGGTCTACAATATGTCTATGAAAACAAAACAAAAAAAAAGTTGTTTCTTTGTTATGAAAATACTATGCTAAAGCTTTTTAGACTATTTCTGATGATATCCCTAAAATATAAGTAAAAAACATGGCATGGCTTTGATATGTTCTGGGACAGAATGGAATTTAAAAAAAAGGAACACTAACAGTTGCTTCTTTGGTAGGTTTTGGTACAGAACATGTCTATTTGTTTTAACAGAAATGTCGAAATTATAGCTCCGTAGATTCTGTCTGTGGTGGCTGATGGTAGCACATTGATTAGCCTGCCTACTTTTCAAGGATAGCGGGTAAAAGAGATTTTAGACCTCCATCCTCTTCAAAAGCTCTATATTTCTTAGAATATTTATCTATTTTTCCTATCTGTCATAACATAATTGTCTGCACTGTAGACTTCTTAAAGGAAGAAGTATTTCTTACTATACACATCTGAGAGCGGCCAGAAGTAGGGGCAGCCTGATAATAGCAATGAGATGACAATTTCTACAGTATTTCAAACTGGTTGAATTGATTTCTTTACTTTAATATATTTTTACATTTTTAACAACTTTTAGTGAACAAAGATGGGAAGCATGGAAGAAGTGTGATGGCTTACACAAATATTCTATATATTTCTGAAGCAGCACTCCAGGAGTCTGATCAAATTAATTTTATGTTTTTTCTTTTAATTACTAGAAGCTATCTGGATTACATATTCTTGCATGGACAAATTACCCTTTCAGCTACTTTATGCATTAAGCTGTAAAAATAGTAAACATAAAGCAGTGCCCCCACCTCAAGTTCAACCAGGACTTTTTGTTAAAAATCTTATTTTTACAAAAATCTTTACATTGTTCACTGTGTTCTTTTCCTTTGTGTAAATGTTGAAGGTATTAATGTTAAGATGATGGGTTTGTTTTGGAAGGCTTTAGATTTGGCAGCCCTTGCCACTGAGCATGCACAATTCAAGGACTGGTGGTGGAAAGTCCAAATTGGGAAATGCTACTATAGGTAAGCCATTGTTCATTTCTTCTGTGATCAGTGGGTGTGAATGCGGGACCTGAACTGCTGGGTGTACATTGCAGTGCTGAACACTGAGAAATAGCTCAGTAAGTATTTAGTTGGAGAGCGCTGTACTTATGGTTAAATCTCCTTTAATGTACAAGGAGATTATGTTCAATTGCTTGAGGTAAAGGCATCAACATTGAGTACCTTTAAGTAACTGAATTAGTTGCATCTTCACCTTTGCTAATGTGTTTCAAAGTCGTTGTTTCAAAAGTCAGTAAATGCAAAGAGCTATTATTAAATCAGACCACACAAAATGAATATTACAGTATTAGCTTGAGAAACTAACTGTCAATGAGGACTTCACATTGATGAAATAATTAAAAATGAAATATTCACGTTAAGACAATTTCTGCCAGAGGTACATTGCCCAAGAGGTATCAGTTCCAAAGATGCCAAGGCCTCAGGGCTGGCACCCCGTACCAGAGCATCTGGCACAAATGACTTAGGAGTACCCTGGTGCTGTGCACCGTTATGTGGCAACAGCAGGGAGGAGAGCTTGTTGCAAGCAGTTTAGAGTAGTTGATGAGGATCTAGCTATGATTGTAACAGCCACTTCTGCCAAATCAGATGAAACTCCTCCTGATACAGCCCTGCTTCCCGTAATTCAAATGTACTGAGGCAGCTCCCCCTTATCATTCTTTACAATGAGTTTGTCCCAAGAATGTAAAACATACAGATACGTTATTAGCTGTTAAAAAACTGAAGCATCATCTGCAGTCTTTACAATTCTATAAGCAATTCTCGTATGAACAGGCTGGTAATACAAAGCAGTTAGCCCTTTAAAATTCCATGTTGTATCTTGGCTTGAAACTATTGATTCTTTTTAGATACCCAAACTAATGAAATTCTATCCTTAACCTCTTTTTGATGTTCTTTAGAAGATTAGACATTGAGTTTTTTGAGATTAGAGGTCATTCATCACTTTCAGGATTTTTATGAATAGACTAAAGCATCCAAGCAGGCATGTGTACTTCCAGAATCCAAAACTTCCTTATGTCCCCATTGGCCGCATTTATTTGTTTTGGCTGGCTTGTTCTGGCTGTGTTTCTTGTTTCTTCACCAAGTATATGTGCTCTTTGTCTGAAAGAGAGAAAAGGCAATTTGTATATGAGAAAGTGTACCTTTTCCCTGTTGTTGGAACGGTACAATCCTCCTAATTTTGTAGTCTATATAGCACTTACAGAGTACTGCAAAATATTCTACAGTAAAACGGCAAACCAAATACTTTTGAGATGAAACAGACTTCTGTGAGGTTCATGTGCCATATACTGCCCCCTCCCAAGTGATCTGCTTGGACAGTCTTAAGCTGTGGTGCCGTTTACAATACAGCATGCTTTCCACACACAGTTAAAGATAATATCAGCAGCAGAATTTTCACCATTTCCCGTATGAGGCTAGGAGTAAGTGTTTTATAGATGATTAAGCATTCCCTAAGTGTTACAGTGGGAAGTATCTATGTGGTCTTTGCCATGAGTGAGGAAATTCTGCTCCAAAACCATGTGGGTAGAGGTTGAGACATGACTTTAATTGCTCATTTTCTGTTGTCCATTCTGTATAAAGAGCAGGAAGGAGTCCTATGAAAATGAGTACATCAGTATTCAATTAGCACCAGAAGGCTGCATGTACAAAAGGGGAACAAATGTCATGAATTTGGCTTTTTCATGGTTGTGAATAGTCGTCTTTCTAGCCTTAACATATTTAACAGCATGTTTTTTGTTAACATGCACACAAATATATGATCTTAAAGTTTACTTTTGGGCAGTTCATGTTTGGTTTAGTGTGCACTGCTTCGTTATTTAATAAGCTTTTTTTAAAAAAAACAAAAAAACAAAAAAACAACAAACAAATACCTTCTATATCTATCTGTTGTCTCTTTAGGTTAGGATTATATCGTGAAGCCGAAAAACAATTTAAGTCAGCTCTCAAGCAACAGGACATGGTTGATACAATCTTGTATTTGGCAAAAGTAAGTCATAGAATTGCTTGTTTAAGAATGAAGTGAAATTCCAGACTATCCCTGAGAAGTCCATACATCAGAATAGCTGACTGTGGAGCTTAATACACTATGAAGTTTAGTAGTGTGTGATCTTCATATAGACCTGAGGCAATACATGCTAACAGTTGAAATTGACGTCTGTAGTTTACAGAAATATTTTGAAGCTTCCAGATTTCACACACAGAAAAAAGAAATCTCCTACGTTACTGTATTCTTTACTCTAAACTCTAATGAGGATTATATAGCTAAAGAAGAGTTCTAGTATGAAGAACAATATAGCTATATAGGGTCTCCTAGGAAAATAATGCAATAAATCAGTAAGTGAAGAGTGAAGCTCAAAATCCTAGCTTCACAAGCAAAATCAAAACAAAGTGAGCTTAAAGGAAGCAATAAGAGACCTTGAAATAGAGAATATTCTGTCAAAATAAAGGCATTAAAAGCTTTAAAAGAAGTGGCACAGCTGAGCCTCAGAAGTACTTGTTTACCAGGGTACACATCAGATTCTAAACATTTTCCAAGACATTCAAGAAAAGGTGACCTGTGAGAAACTAAAACTGCATTTTTCTTCCTCTTGTTGTGGGAGGACATGAAATCAGTTGGTCTTTATCAGCTCCCTTTAAGTCAGCTATCACAGGCCTATCCAGAAGTCATCACTACTAGTGGATAATTCAGTTATTCGTATTATGATACTTGCTTCACCTTTAAATTTCTTGAGCAATTTATGTTTTGTATTTAAATGATCATCATTGCTAGCTGGAGACTTGTCTTCAATACAGCAGTTGGGGTTAGTTTACTCAATTGAGCTTAGTAATGTTAGATTTCTGTCGCTACGAGGAGTCATTCTGCAAAACACCTAAGCTACACAGAGTGATTAAATTGTCAGAGTAATTAAGATTAACAAACAGTGATTTGTTATGGGAGACTGCATCCCCCCACTTCATTACTAGCTCAAGTAGGAGCTGCATTTGAACTTCCACCTCCCACTCCATAGAACAGCTCACTCAAGTATAAAGCATCGCACAACATGATTTAATGACTGTGGGTGGACAGCCAGTAGAGTAGGGCACTGAGATATAGCTCAGTCTGACGGTACTGAAAAGATAAGGCTTGAGTTAAGCCACTATTAAACAAAATAACAGGATTGCATCAAGTTCTGTGCAAACAGACCAATACTACAGTACCAATTAGTTTTGTGTTTGTATTCATTATTACAACAGCTATGTGTTTTTTTAAAAATATTTTCCTGAAAGCTATCTCTCCCTTGAAATGTAATTTATGAAAAGATAAAAGACCGAAAGAAAACTAAAAAATAGAGTCTTTAAAGAAGTTGGGGCTAATGAGAAGTTACAAAGTATTTCATGACCCAGAAGAGCTGGAAATTGGTTATTTTTACCAGAGATAAGAGAGATACCAAAAGGAAAATTGAGCCATTCTGCATTTAGCATCTAAAACTTAATGACTATAGCTGTAGTAGTCTTAAAGAGCAGGTCTCCCCAAAGCAACTGTGAGTAGGTGGAGTTTGTCCCATCTATCTTTTAATTTCTTTTGCCACTTATCTGGACAGCAGCTCTGCAGTCTGCAGAGATGTTGGATGTTGTGATGTTCCACTGAATGTGGGAATTATGTAGCAGAGTACTGTGGCTGTTTCCTTAGCATAATATTTGCACAGAGGATGTGTAGTGAGTGCATCTTTGGAATTAACTTCCAGATGAAGCAATAGAACAGACTTAAGTCATGATGCTCAGAAAACATACTTCATAAGCAAACATAAAAAGATAAAGAAAGAGCAGATCTAGTGGGAGTTTTCTGTCCTCCTTTTTTTACATTTTTTGCCCTAAGAATATGAAGATAGCTGTGCTTCGTAGCTAGATAATGTCAAAAAACAAGCAAGCAAACAAAACCAGCTGATTAAAATTTCCTCTCAGTTCAAACAAAGAAAAGACGAAATTATTTGTAGTTGTGGCAGTGTGCATTGGCTTACTACACGTTTAGGATAAATTGTAGAAGTCACTCACATAGGTGATACTTAGGAGTAAAACAGCCAGCCAAGGTTCTTCTTAATTAAGAAGATATATACAGCTGTCATGTATTTTCTTTCATCTGTGTTCTTTCCACTGAAACTATTTACAGAGTAATTTAGCTGTAGAAAACTGTTGTTAGAAGAAAACAAGGAGCATGACAGTCACAATTATTTAAAATTTAAAAATTAATACAGACGTGAAATTCATCTGAAACTGTTGCATGGTTTATAAATGAAAAACTATAGCAAATGACTTGAAGTCTGTTTTAGATACAGCAATAAAAGGAGCACAAAACACTTTTCCACTCAATAGGAGACAGATTAATCACTCTAGCCATCTAGCTTCCCGAAGTAGATGTGCGGGTTTTTTTCCTTTTCTGTAGCTGTATTTACCGTACCCCACAAAAGGAGGGTTTTGCAGTTGTACTCTCAGGCATCTGCAGAGGTAGTCTCTATCAACACATTGATGTCCTCTGTCCAATTCTCACTCAATGTTATCCACATCACATGTTGTCATAATCAACACAGAAGCCAAAATCAGAGACCAAACTGCCCTCTTTCTGTTATGGGATTTTATTGTTTGTGACAGGGGAGGTTGGCTGAGCAGTAAGGAAATTTGAAAGTGTCACTGCTCTATGCAGTGCAGTCTTATTTGACTAAGTAAAATATTTTGGTATTCCAGCACTATCAGCCTGAAGATTCAGTTCTTTCAAGCCTAAAGATAAGTTTTCAAAAATATATTAAACATAGAAATATTCAAGGTGATACCTTCACCTCAGTGTTAAAGTACATTATTTTGATATGATAATAAATAACAAGATACTTCTTTGGTTTATTACTAATGTCCAAATGATTTAATAATGTCTGGAAAAATTTAATTATCTTAATTAGCCTATTTTATCCTCATTACAGAGATTTATTCAGTATTCACTCCATTATTTTCCCAGTCTTATTCACCATCGCAGCTTATGGTTTACTGCATAAAGTCATGTGACATCCCTTTTATTTATCTCCTTTGTTAAACAGTAGTACAAGTGTAAATGTCAGACATTTGACATTTATATACACTTTTTATTTACTTAGGTATATTTGCGCTTGGATCAGCCTGTAACAGCTTTGAACCTTTTCAAGCAAGGGTTAGATCGATTTCCTGGAGAAGTGACTCTTATTTGTGGAATTGCCAGAATCTACGAGGTATGCACCCACTATGCAATCCTGATTGTGGCCAAGGTTAGCTGCGTGAGCAAGAAAAAAGGGCCAATAGTTGAATATAACTGTAAGGTCATCAAAAATTAGCTACGCTAATTTTCAGTATCACTAATGCAAACCAGGCAACATTACACAAAGATAGCAAAGTAATGTCAGGGGAGACTTGCAGGCTTATTTGTTTAAATGGTTAATTACACTAGTGAGATCCTATTTACTCTTGACATACAGAAGCAAGTCCCCATTAAGTCAAGTGGTCCAGATGTTGCCCATGTAGCTAGGTCTAGTTTGTATATGTTTCATAGTACTAAACCAGCTCAAGTTACCAACAGCCTGCTAGCAGGATTAAACAGCAAAATAGTCTACTTGTCAATGTTGCCTTTATTAGAAGCACTATGTGTTACTGTTATTTTATTAAGCCAGTGAGAGCAGTTGGAATGTGAATGTTTCTTAGTTTAGGAAGTAGATGTTATTTTAAGTAGGATTAGTTTTAAAGTAGTTTCATTTTAGCGTGGTAACCATGTATTTTGTATTTTTAAAGTGTGTATTTTCATGTCAAACAGTGGACTTAATATCATTTTTCACTGAAAGCTGGTAATGATACTATTCCAGAGCAAATGTTTTAAACAAAGTCATGGTGTGTTTTTTTTTTTTTGTCTACATTCATACTTGGCATTCTTTCCTGTTCCCGTCATTCTTGTCTAACCCCTAAGCATTAATCCATTTTCATATTAAATCCTTTTTGTCCTTCAGCAAGGAAGAAAACAGCTGCATAATTTTTGGAGGCTTTTCTTTCTGCATTGTTAAACAGTTTTTAATATGGATATTATTTTGCACAACCATACATAACATTGCATAATAACCCTTTAAGGAATTATTAAAGAGCAGCATATAGTTGATAGAATCTAGTTTTGCACTGACACCTGAGTGCAAGGATTGTAGCTTCATTAGCAAAGATTTGTACTGCAGCACAGGGCTGTTCTCATTACAGAGACTCACAAGTGGAATATATGCATCAGGCATCTTAATCAGAGCTTTTGTTCTCTGTTCGTGCTTTCTGACAGTGGGAAGAGTTGTAGACTTTTTTGGTTTTTAAAAAAACATTATTTTTAAACAGATTGCTTTAGTACTATTTTCTTTAATCACAAGAAATATTTTTTTTCATAGCTAAATGTGCTACTGAGGTTAAATAAGAGCTTACTCTTTAGTCATGTTGAAAGTACAGTCTACTTACAGCACACAGGTAGAAATTATTCCTCTCTAAACACAGAAGTGTGTTTTTATCTTTTAATTTTCTTCTGATACGGGGTAGGGTCCTTTGGTGACTTGCACTCCTCAGAGACACTGTGACATTGTTTGCAGCAATGAGTTCACTCTAATTCATCTTCCAAGTAGCATACATCCAAGCATATACAATATAGTTCTCTTAACTGGCATATCCTAGCTAGTACAAGTTTTGGTAATAAATCCATGATTCCTGTTTTCAAAGGCACATAATAATTCTTCATATGCAATTTTATTCTCATTTGTGTTCAGAGCAATTCATGAGTTGACTTACAAAGCATTGAAAATAATTGAGACATTGACTGGGGAAATAAGTCTACTGTATGTTACCACACTGGGAAACTGACTGCACAGTACTGTGTATCACAAGGCGTTGTGCAAAAAGTAGCAGATGCCTAGTGCACATGCTAAGCTTGTGAGCTATCTCTTTTTCTAAAAAATAAAAACCAAATAAATCTTTTTTTTGTAGGTGTGGCATAGATTTAATGACAGGTACAGCTAGCACTGATAATTAATATGCATTCTTCTCGTAGATGTGTGTGTTGCTTGTGAAGATGACGATTGGTGATGTTGCGTTGTACGATCAGAGAACTGTAAGAGCATGCATAGTTAATTTCAGTTAAGCACTCAGTAGTCTGACATTTTAACAAGTTTTATGATAAAACTTGGTGATAAAAAGTAGAATTAAACTGAATTTTTCTAATTGTATAGGAAATGAACAATATCTCCATGGCTGCAGACTACTATAAAGGCGTCTTAAAACAAGACAATACTCATGTGGAAGCCATTGCATGCATTGGGAGTAACCATTTTTATTCAGACCAGCCTGAGATAGCTCTGCGGTTTTATAGGTATCTACACTTGTGGGGAGGAAGGGGGAACTGAATGCATTGGGTGGTAATTCAAAGGGTTGATTTTTGTAATGCTGATAGCAAAAGAAGAACCTTAGGAGATTGGCATGGGAGGATGATTGACCATTTCGACAAATATCACCATAAAATCAGCATACCAACTTCCGTATCTTCTTGGCCAGTGATAATTACATCTCTCTTTTAAAAACTTGACATCATTACATGCGGAGTATGTAGAAGTATCAACAAAGATTATCAAAGCAGTTATTATTTGATTAATAAACAAGAAATTATCTTTTAGAGGATGAGGCCATTTGACCTTATTCTCAACTTTAGTTGCATTCAGAAGACACATGGACTTCCTTTTTAGCCCTTTGAAAAAGTGTAGTCTTTGAAAAACTCCACCTGAAGTCACAAGCAGTTGCGACCACACAATCCCTTACTTGAACGTGGGCTGGGAGTTCCCATGTGTTTTCCTGAAAGAAATAAAATATTGTTAAACAATGCTGCTTGTTTTTTACTTCAATACAGTCACAGTGCAAAAGAATCTGACTCATGTTCTTAAGTCTAAGAGCAGATTAAGTCAATACAAGCTCTACCATCTAATTTCTGTTGGACCTGAACTCTTTTATGCTTTAGGTTCAGAAACTCACAGCCATGCTGCAGACAGCAGCCCTCTTTTTTTGCTGGCCCTCTTAGTGCATCAGTTTTTGCTATAAATATCAATAAACAGAATTTTTATAAAACATCTCTTTTCTAAAACACACATTAAATAACAAAATCTGAGTTAATGCTTCAAATGTAAAATTAATTTAGGTTCACGTACTAGATGTACTAGTACTGATGAGAGCAGTGCTGAAGGACAGGAATCAAGCAAGAAACTGAAGTCTGAAGAGTTGTAAAAAGTAACTGCAACAAATTACAGCTTGATTGAGGTTGAGGGATTGGAAAGAGGAAATGCAGAAAGTCTGGGTACAGCTCTGGGTTACAGTAAAGTCAGATCATGTGGCACAGTCAAAAAGACAGAAGTGATCTAATTTACACAAAGGCTGTTTTGCACAGCTTTGATTCTACTAATAAAAAATGCCCTGCACTGCCCTTCATGAAAACTCTGCCAAGCATAAGACTATAACACTTGGTTGTTGCACCTGCTCAGAACAGGGAGAACGGAGGAGAGAACTTTGCAATTTAGAATAGGACTCTTGTTTGAAATTAATCTAAAAATAGAAATTAAACAAATATTTTCTTTCAATCTAGACGGCTCCTGCAGATGGGTGTTTATAACTGCCAACTTTTTAACAATCTGGGCCTCTGTTGCTTCTATGCCCAGCAATATGATATGACACTATCTTCATTTGAACGGGCACTGTTTTTGGCTGAAAATGAGGAGGAGACAGCAGATGTGTGGTACAACTTGGGACACGTGGCTGTGGTATGAAAAATATTAACAACCTTTCTGAATAAAAATAATTTTACAAAAACTGGAAAAAGAATAACTAGGAAGCCCCATAGTGTGCAGGATAAAATGCAGTACGGATTAAAGGTTTATTTGCACTTCAGTAGAGAGCAGGAGGCAGAAGAAAAAGGTTTTGTACGTCTTCACAGAATGTGGCTTACTCCTGCTAAAAGATGCTTCCTCCCTACTGTCTTTAACCTTCCCTTGTTCTGAAAAGGGAACATGTAGCCCTTGAAGGCCTTTGCTGCAATACAAACTAACCTGACAAAAAAATAGAATTCAAGATATTTTTCTCTGAGCTGTTATTTGTGTTACATGGAGCATTAGACCTTTTCTGTTGTCATAAAAATAGGTATTCAGCAGCATGTAGCAGACACTAAAGCATTAGGTATGGCATAGTTGAGAAGTCATGTTCCTTTGTCTTATAGGCAGCTATAAAAATATTGTGTAATTGTATGATAAAGTCTGTTAAATTCCTACACTCATTTGCATTCATTGCCCATTTCTGCAGATGTTCTTTCAGAAGTTGTGTTAGATTTCTGTTTAGCTGCGTGCCAAGAATAAGATTACTGAATTAAAGTTTTTGACAGCTTTCTAATATGAGCTGTCTTCAAATGCCGAGTATGATTTAACTGAAATCAGAGAGAAACTCAACTGTTCATCTCGATTGTACTGCAGTGAGGATAAACACATTAATTTATACTGAAACATTGAAATTGAACTGATGTGCCTACATTTTTCAGCATTTGTCACTTTTAATGTTCGACCTGATGCTGTATCAGTGTTGGTCATAACACTAGAGCACTAAAGAGTAGTCAGCTGCTCCATACAAAGAAATAAATCTCCCTTGATTTTTATCGTCTGAAACTAGGCTTATATGTGGGGTTTTTTTTAATCTGTGTAGAGACAGAGGGGCAAGACGGCTTCCCCTCTGAAGACATCTCTGTTTTTCTTACCCTACTATAGACGGTAGCAGGTAGTGTAGTCTTTAGATGACACTTCAGACATCTAAAAGTTAAATTAGATGAAGTGAATATCACTTGGAGCATGGAAGTTTGTGTTGGAGAGAAACGATTCTGTCTGGAGGAAGAATAAGAAGCGAATGAGAGGGTCTGGGAAGAAAGCACATACGGTTCTGATCAGTGTTTTACTGTAATTTATATTCCATAGTAGTACTTATGGGTGAAAAGATGCTCCAAACAGAACAGATGCATGTTGTTTCCAATCTTTTCACAAATTAAAATACAATCTTACTTTTAGGGGATAGGAGACCTGAATCTGGCTTACCAGTGTTTCAAGCTAACGTTAGTCAACAATAACGACTATGCAGAAGCTTACAACAACTTGGCTGTGCTGGAAATGCGAAAAGGTCGCATTGAACAGGTTGGTGTTAAGCAGCCTAAGCAGAATGCTTCCTTTGACCCTTTTGCACTTAAGAAACATGTCATTTCCCTGAGGTGGAGGCATCATATTCTCAAAGTTAAGTTTATTCAGATAACCTAGCAATTACCATGGAAACACTGAAATGAGCCCAGCACTGGATGTTTCCAGTGACAAATAAACTTTGGGTTGAGTTTCAGATTGATAATCAGTAAATTTACAGACATTTAATTCCCAGGTGGAACTTAAGTCCAGTTGTGGAGGTTGTGATTGCTAATAATTAGCACGGCAGAGCCTTTCCATTGTAATCAATTATTTCCTTTCTGGTTTAGTTTTTAGCTTAAAATTCTCTATTTTCTTGTTGTATCACAGGGTAATTAAAAATCAGGATCATCATAGCAATAAAATTATGCACACAAGAATTAAAAATGAAATATGTTTTGCTTATCTTTATTTCACAATGTTATTTCATAAGTTGTCAGATTTAGGGAGTTTTAATAAATTCTTAACTCTGCCTTCACAGTTTACAGATGCTTTTGTTTTTAAAAGATCAGGTTTTTTCCCCTGAAGTTCTCCATTTGTTAGTAAAAGCATTCACAAGTTGACCTGAATTTTGTATTGGATTTGCAGCATGACAGCGCACACTCTGATACTTAATTTTTCATTAGATTTAATGCTGCTATTTTGCTAGTCAGAAAAAAAGGAGTTAATTTTATTAAAATTTCTCAGTGTGAAAACTGTAATTTTTATGGTAAAATTTAGGTTTTCAGGGATGCTTAAGACAGTGCTATCAGAGATAACAGATAAATACAGTGGGGTGGCACTTTAAATGCTTTTTTCTTAATTAATTATCCTGGGTGAGAGAGTGGCTATGTGGAGTTGGCCCCCAGCCAGGGGTAAAACCATCACGTTAATATATTCTGTTGAGTGTTTAGAACTGAATTGCTTAATTGAATAAGTCCCAACATGTTTTTTCTGGCTCAACCAAGAGTCTTATTCATTTCAATGCTATTAAACTGTATTATGCCTAAAGGTACTATTGGTGTAACCCATACAGAGTTGATGATGGCTTTCTTAGTAAAGGCCTAGTAAAGAAAACACAGGATGATTTCTTTTAAGAGTTATGAAAATTGTATTAGATTCTCGTTACCCTCCCTCCCTCACAGATTTCACTATATTTTTTTTTCTTTCTCTACATAGGCAAGAGCTTTGCTGCAGACTGCTTCATCTTTAGCACCTCATATGTATGAGCCCCATTTCAATTTTGCAATACTCTCAGAGAAGGTAATTCACTATCCTATTCTTGTAACAGAAACATTGAGCCTTGATGGGGCAGTTGGGCTTTTATTGTTATTACTAGGAATTCCAAATAGACAAAATAGACAAGTAGTCAAAAGAATACAGAGTGCATAAACACTGAAGTTTATTTTTATTTTAATACCCAGAAACTTTGTGTAAAAGTAGTCATTCAAATGTTTGCTTTTGAGAATTAAGTGAAGCCAACTAGCTGTAAAGTAACTTTATAGTTTTCCGAATGCCCAGAAGAGGAACAATCCATTAACAATTCCATCTACAGTCTTTACAGTCGTTGGCTTTTTCAGAATGTGAAGTGACATAGTATCAGAAGTTTTATCATTAGTTATAGAAAGAATATAATTTATTCATCCCATGATCTTGCTGTTCTCAAAAGGAAAGTTTGTTCTTCAGCTTTACAACCTTTGAATTTTGTGTGTTTTCTTTCATACCGAGTGTTTCAGACACTGAATTAACAGTGTGTCCAACATCCCTGTTAATAAGGAGAAACTTGTACAGGTCCTCACATTTTTCAAAAGAAAAAATTGCTCCTTTGCTTGTGCCTACACCTTCAAGATTGTGTTATGAGTCTGTGTTGTGTGGGCAGCCCAGCTCCTACAGATACTAAAGTACATGCGTCAAGGAGAGAACAACCCATTAATTTGTAAGCGTATCCTCTCCATTGTGAAACATAAGGTGGTTTTGAAAAATTGCATTCTGTACTTGCCGATTAAGGAGTAAATCCTAGCCTGCAAATGTCGTGTTATGTAGCTTCTGCACAAAGAACCTGCATAGGTTGTGGGAGAAGACAGATGGCCAGATTAGCTAGCTGTTGGTGCAGTGTGGTAATAAAATCCTTAGATTCAGTGTAAGGCAGTGGTTTACAAAACATAACTTGTCCCGCCAGGACCCTGGTTTCTTCCCCTTCAGAGAATTCTTCCTGCACTGGAGCTCTGTGTTCACTGATGGACAGGCAACAGAGGCTTCCTGCTG